TAACAGAACTTTCAAACGTATCTAGTATGATAAACAGCGCTGCTTTACCCCACATACGCACGACCGGAAGCAGCGGAAGCGGTCGACTGTGGCATAATAAAAGCTCTGCTGCTTTCGAGCTGTGTGTCGCACTTGTCTCTCGTTAGCAATTGCTTCAGCGGCCTCGTTTCGCGTCGACGGTTTTCAGCCTCTCTCTGCTTCATACTATGATGTTAATAAATCATTAATACATTAGCTCATCCATGAACATGATTTCTGACCGAGTCTCGTCGGATTGCGTCGGCGGTGGGGATGAAGACCACAACTCCCACACCCTCTAGCAGCGAAAACTTACATATTGTACCTTTAAACATTACTCAACATTACAGAACATGAACTCTGGGCCCTATGTGCCCTCAGCAAGTGCTAGGCAAGTGGCTAGCGTTGTGTTTTAATAAATAAACAACAGGTTACTGTGTTTTTTATATGTATTTGTCTTCTATCTAAAATCCCTTTCCCCCTCTCCTGTGTCTCTTATCTCAGGTGATCCTGAACTATCTGTTCTTTGGCTATGACCTGCAGAAAGCTGTTAAAGAGCCCAGAGTTCAGATCACGAAAAATGAGACAAATGTAGAAAAGGACTTTGATAAGGTAGGATTCTTACACTTTTATACTCTGAGACAGATTTATAGTGTCAGAATAGTGATAAGTATTCTAATTTTCTCTCTGTGTTGTGTTGTGTATGAATGCAGGGGGTTACTGATGGCTTGAAGAAGAAGAATCATTCTATATTTCACAATACTGAACTAACAGCTGTCCAGGCAATTGTACGAGAGGGGGACGAAGTCTGTGCTGAATCTGACTACAGGAAAGGTGGCTATCCTGCCGGATACCCAGAACCAATACTGTAGAATTTAGTAGGGACGCTAGGGACGTGTCCCTATCAATAACCGATGACTATTAAACTGTCCCTAGCAATATTTTTTTGATCAAACAAATAAATATAAGTATATGTAACCACTGCTGTTGTAATTTTGGCCACATCTGAAATAGGTCATACCATTGATATTACCTGAGAAGTTAAAGTAAATCCGCTAGAAAACTGCAATTTCAATGATGTACATTTAACACATGTTAGAAAGATATAAGAAGTAGTAAGAAGATATAAGGTAGCTGAAATGTTTAAAACATACATGCACAGTTCAGTTGAATAATAAAGTTTACCCTCTTGAACTTTGTTGTTAAACTGAATGTACTAAGCAAATATATCCACAAAATATTTTTTTTTTTTAAAAACAACACTGAAATAAGAGTGTGTGGTTTATCTGTCAATCTGTCAATCAAGCAACTGTTGGGTCCCGGGCAAGTTTTCCGTCAGAATCATCATTGCCCAGTCAACACTTTGATCTCACAGTGATGTCACCATGAGCTCCCAGGATACCCGTGATGAGGTCACAATGTGAGGTCACAGTGAGCTAAAAGTGTAACCTCACAGCGCCCTCAATGTGTGCTCATACTAATGTGAGGTCAAAGTGCACTCACTGCACAGAGACTAGGTACCCAGCATGCACTGCAGCATGAAGCTTTTGATTGTCACCATTGTTGAGATTCATATGCTGATTCTTGGTGTTTCTCTTTGTTATTAAAAGACACAGCAGTTCAAAAGTGCTTGTGATGTGTTATGCTTTTAAAACCCTTCATCAATTAATTTACTGCTGGCTCCTATTCTGTGTGATAAAAGAGCTGTTATTATTATAAATTTAAGATTAATAACTCATCACAAAGACTGAATGCTGAACCGAGGTGAAGATTGTGTTGTTATTATCAGTAACAAACCGATATCGCTTGGTTGCTGTTTGTGGAGTTGTTTAATCATTCTCTGCTGAGATCACGAAAGATTTAATGTATTTTATATTTCAGTTGATTTCATCGAAGGCTGTGGCTGGAAGTCAGTTGTATGTTTGGAGAAGGTTCTTATAACAAAAAGTTGTTAGCTGAGTGTGCACTCATGAGCTCAGCATGTGAGAGCACTGTGATATCACTGTGATAGTGTCAGTCACGGAAGCCTTGCAGATTGCAAAAGCTGATTCCAAATCATCAGTTCTTATTCTGCTGGATCTATCTGCTGCTTTTGCCACTGTCAATCATCAGATCATCCTGTCTGCCCTCTCATCACTGGGCATCACAGGGATTCCTCTTCGCTGGTTCGAATCCTATCTCACTGCTGCACGTGCAGCCCACACTTAGCCCACACTACTAATCTACAACAGGGGTGCCCAACATGGTCCTGATCAAACACAACTGAACCAACTAATTAGGATCTGAAGGAGCACTTGATAATTACAAACAGGTTTGTTTAATCAGGGTTGGAACTGAACTCTGTAGGAAGGTAGATCTCAGGAACAGGATGCACCCCTGATCTATAACAATACATCCGTTCCATTTTTAAATACTTTCAGCTACTATAAATTAAGTATTTGGGAAAAACAGTTATTACACTCCTGAAATGGATGCAGTCACCACATAACTAATGTCTATATTGTCAAAAATGTACAGTAGTCAAAAGGGATTTCAAATCAATAGATTTATTAAATAAATCTGTCTAAATGTGTCTTGGGGAGGGGAGGTATCCAAAGCACATCAACTTGTCACTGGGGTTCCTCAGGGATCAGTTCTTGGACCCCTCCTCTTCTCCATATACACAACATCACTGGGTCCCATCATACAGGCACATGGCTTCTCCTACCATTGCTATGCTGATGACACACAGCTCTATCTTTCATTTCAACCAGATGATCCAACGGTAGCTGCACGCATCTCAGGCTGCCTGGCGGACATCTCGGCATGGATGAAAGAACATCACCTACAGCTCAACCTGGCAAAGACTGAGCTTCTTGTCTTCCCTGAGCTTCTTGTCTTCCTATATATATATATAATACAAAATCCTCTGAAACAATCTCAGCTCAAGGTACACATTTTATTTTAGTTTTCAGTTTTCCCTAGGAATAGAGTGGTTTAGTTGTGATGACAAAACCTGACTAATAAAGACTAATTCGCCACCGCTTCCCTCAAGATTTTCCTATATTTTATCCAATTAAAGAGTAAAATAATGTAAACAACTGGACGATGCTTTATATTTTGCTCTACAATGCAAATTACACACACTCATGCAGAAAACACACATTTTGAAAAAGTCGGGGGAGAGAGAGTGTGTGGTTTGAATATGAGCAGGGTAATTCTGGTCATTCATTCAGGGCTGTTCTGGGTTTTAACTAGTACTAATACAACATTAGGCTGTGGAAGTATAGCCTACCCAGTCAACACGTGAGATCATGCGCTGATCACAGTGACATCACACCATTCTCATAGTGTGATACTCACAGTGTGAGTAATATGTGATTAACTTATTGTGAATTCAAAATGTTGAGCAGGTTGAGAGGAGGCAGTTCAAATATCAGTCACCGAGGAGGCTTTCTATATCCTGTTTCTCAACACTATCACAGTGATATCACAGTGCTCTCACATGCTGAGCTCATGAGTGCACACTCAGCTAACAGTACTTTGTTATAAGATCCTTCTCCAGAAATACAACTGACTTCCAGACACAGCCTTCCATGAAATCAACTGAAATACAAAAGACATTAAATCTTTGGTGATCTCAGCAGAGAATGATTAAACAACTCCACAAACAGCATCACCAGCTTCACTCATTATTAACCAGACTGACTTTATTTCTGTCAGACATCTACAAAAGCACTCTTTGAGAATTAACAGAGATTTAGATGATGATGTTTTATTGTTTCATTTTATGTTAACATCAAGGCGATTAGTGTTTGCTTTAGTTGGGCTCTTGACCCATAACTTTATAACATTATATTTTTTGGACTACTGTGTGTTATAAAGCACATTTGTTATGGCAAGGATTATCAAAAAGAGACTGCAACCAGGTAATTTCGGTTTGTTATTGGTGATAACAATACAATCTTCACCCGCAGCCAGTATGCAGACTTCGTGAGGAGTTATTAAGCTAAAGTTTATTATTATAATAGCTGTTTGATTAAACAGTACAAGATCCAAAAGAGTAATAATTCATGAAGGACTTTAAAAGCATGATAAGTCATGAGCATTTAGAACTGCTCTGACAGTTAAAAACAAAGAGAAACATCAAGAATCAGTGTATGAATCTCAACAATGGTGACAATCAAAAGCTTCATGCTGCAATGCATGCTGGGTACCTAGTCTCTGTGCAGCGAGTGCACTTTGACCTCACATTAGTATGAGCACACATTGAGGGCGCTGTGAGGTTACACTTTTAGCTCACTGTGACCTTCAGCTTTCCTTAAGGCTTGCGTTGTCCTGTTTGCAATTGGCTAAAAAGGAGAAAAAAAAAAAAATATATATATATATATAATAAGTCCACAGATTTATGATAAGCTATGAAATCCTTATAATCAATTGATGATAAACATATTCTTTGTAAATAAGTAACGTTAGTTAAATTAAAGCGAGATGATTTAGCTCCATCCCTAATCCTGACAATCTGGCATTGTCTTGTCAAAGTGCTCACTGTACATATTGTGCTCATAACACAACTTACTGTATGATATAAACTACAATATAAAGTTAAAACTCAAGAATTCATTTAAAATTTGATTTCATATAAAGTCTCAGCTTTCACAGCTTATAGCGATATCGCTAGCTATTAATAGTCTGAAACTGGTGACTAATTAAGCTGTCAACATAAAGCTAAAAATGACCAAAAAACATACAGAAAACACTGTTCAGTCTTACCTGTGAAAGATAATACCCCGAGATCTGTTTTTATTATTGTGCGACGGTTTGTAGATGCCAAAGCTGCCGACGAGTCAGGTATGTTTTTGCCTGTCCCAATGTTCAAGCTCTTGTTCTATCCAGGCTGGACTATTGCAATGCTCTCTTGGCAGGTCTTCCAGACACTTCTATCAAACCTCTACAATTAATCCAGAATGCGGCAGAAAGATTCATCTTTAATGAACCGAAAAGAACGCACGTCTCACCTCTGTTTATCAGTTTGCACTGGCTAACATTAGCTGCTCGCATTAAATTCAAGGCATTAATGTTTGTCTACAAAACCACCACTGGCTCTGCACCCCTTTACCTAAATTCATTACTTCAGAGTTATGTGCCCTCTAGAAGCTTGCGTTCTGCAAGTGAACGTCGCTTTATTGTTCATCCCAAAGAAGCACAGAATCACTTTCACAGACTTTTACATTAAATGTTCCCTCCTGGTGGAGTGACCTGCCCAACTCAATCCGAGCAGCTGAGTCCTTAACCATCTTCAAGAATCGGCTAAAAACACATCTCTTCCATCTTTATTTGACCCTCTAACTCTAGCACTCTCCATTCTATTTGAATTCTACTTTATCTATATGTATCTTCTTTTTTTATTAAAAAAAAACAAAACAAAACAATATATATATATATACACACCTTGCTACGTGTGGCCACGAGATCATTTTGTCCAGGTAATGACATCCTTATGTCGTGGCCTTGAGATGCTATGTTGAGGGAACGACATATTTTTATCATTGCCACAAGTTTAATGCATAAACAAACCTGCGTTACCATAGCAACCCGGGATTATCAAAAATGGATAAAACATTTTTATTAACATTAAACATTTAATTTAATATATATATATTATTACATTAACTTACTAGGGCTATATTTTTATATTTATTTTTATGTATGCTTATTTCCCCTTTCAATTTGTGTATCGCTTTACCTAGTTAACGTTTTGTATAATTATGCTAGCATCTGCTAGCCTACCATATATGTAGCAAATAAACACCTGACAATTATGCCAATAAAGTTTTGACTTTATGATTGTATTTATGCCCATGTGTGATGATAAATGAGCGTTTGTGTTTTC